GGCGTTGTGCATGGCATTGTTCAACAAGCACTCTCCCGAGAGTGCCTGAATCTTTTCCTAGTCTTTTTCTGAAGCCAAAGGCTTCAGATAATTAGCAAGCTCCACCGACCGGGATAGCAAGTTTCATCCGGTAGAGACCGAAAGGGTAACGTTCTTCCTCCTTTGTAGATCTTCAGAAGGGGCAGCATAATTTCCCCCCAAATTCCCATGAACTGGGGACTGTGGAAGAGGAACACCTTCTTCATGGTCAGGTGCAGTCGATGGAGGTGATGTAGCAACTGCTAATAGAAGAGTGGATTAAGATAGACGTGACGTAGCTGTTGCTGGTGTTGGTAAAGGTGGAGATGAAGCTGATGTAGTTGAAGAATGAGAGGCAGCTGCATCAAATGCAATGCTGGATGTTAGATGCTCGCCAACCAAAAACGGAAAGGACCCGGTACTCAGCCCCGCAACACCGGTTATAACAATTGAAGCTCGAAAACGGGAGTTGGCATTTTCTACCAAATCAGATTCTCCCCAAAGTGCCGAGATATCGTCTTCAGTTGGTGTAACTATACCAACACGTCGAGCATCCTGTTGAGATGATGAGGATCATTGACTTCTATGAAGATAAGCTCCCTCGTCACTAGCTTCTTCGTCATCATCAATCATCACGGTGTCTATGACCGGCCTGGAAGGAGGACCAGTCGTCATCGCTACCGGAGATGACTTAGGGGCATCAGTCTTTGCCCTCTTATTCTTTTCCCCGGCCGCGGAGGAACGTCTTATCTTTGGTTGCTTATCCTTTGACCGGGAACTCCGTAAATAAGTGTTTGCGCCCAAAATAGGCCCGGAGATACATGTTCGAGTAAGTGCTTCCTGAAGAAGCCTTGCTGCATCAGCAGGATCAGCCAAAACGTCCTCCCCGTGGATAGCAATAGAGCCCGCAGGTAGACCTAATTTCGTGAACAAGTCAAAAGGGTTCAACCAAATTTTCCATATACAAAAAATGGAAGCAAGGTAAATTAAAATTACCATGATTTTTGGTCTTCCACCCGTATTTAAGGGACAGTTTTTTTCACAAACTAGTTTCGGGCGTTGTGACGTACAAGATCTTCTGAACTCACCGGTTCAAACCTTCCACCACCGGTGGGATCCATCGAGTTGCTGAAACATGCGAAGGGTGAAGAGTTGATACAACCACAAAGGAATATCTAGTAAAAAGAAATACAAAACAAAGAACTTACGAGTGCGGTTCCAAGCGACCGGAAAGGATGAAGCCGTTGTCGGAATGATGTCATTGGTGGCAACTACAACGAAGCATTCCATCTACCCACGGTCGTTGTTATCATCCATGCTAGACAGCAAAGCATGGTGGCCACACTTGCAAAGGTTTATCATTCCCTACGGAAGATTTTGGGGGAATAGAGATTCATCATATGAGCTAAGGTTAGCTCCTCTCTAGTTTTCTGGCACAAACGTCGAAGATAGGCGACCATCCTCCACACTGAAGGACTTACCTGTGCCAAACACACTTGGTAGCTAAGGCAAAACTCCGTAATCACGGAATCAAGCTCTCTATTCAAAGAAAACATACCCAAAGTAAAGGGATACATGTAAAAATATGTAATACTTCCCTTGGGAAGGGTCACTTGCTCCGATAGATCAGGAGCGATGATATCTAACTCATGGCAGTGACAATCTTCCTTCACAACAGGAATACTGGAAGGACGAATGGAAGAAGGGTACCTACTAACAGCCCATGTACGAGGGTTAGTAGTAGAAAATTTCTCTTCAAGGTCCCTTATGGTACTGAGTTTTCTTAGGATGATAGAACCCACCGTTGGAGGAACACATTCCTCGGTTTTGTTCTTGTTCTTTGTAGAACCAGCACGCTTAGAGGAAGAAGCAATTGAAAAAGAAGAAGGAAAATGTTTTGTGTTTGAAGAGAACTAGAGAAAGAATGAAAAACAAAGATGCAAATCGGGAGTTCGAGAAATTATGAAACGCAAAGGTAAATAATGTGGCGTATAAGTAAAGTTTTGGCGGCTAAATTCATGGCCATGATTACCTCGATAATCGGCAAAAGCTATGCTGAATCATGGGATGACGCGTGTTCGGGGCATTAAATGCGGAGTGACGTACGTCTAATCAGCTGTCAGGGACCTTCAGAGGGAGTTATAGTAATTTCTGCCAAAAAGGTGTTTCTACCAACTTCCCGGTAACACAAAGTTATGTCACCGAAAAGTAGGGGTACTATCTGTATAGGGTAAAATATGATATGACACGTGGTCATCTAAAGGGAGGACACGTGGAACCCAAGACATGGATGACCGAAGACCGAAGGCAGCCATTCTTTGTCACCGGAAAGGATAACGTTCATAAATGTGTGTTAAATGCTCTGCGTTCGGTAGCATTTGATAGGGGAATATTCTAAACCATTAAGAGTGACGGTCCGTTACAGAGAAATCGGCATTTATGTTCACCGTTACGTCTTCATCAATGACTCTCATAATTGACATTAAAGGAGGGCACGATCCTAGGACATCCTTCCCTAGACATAACTATAAATAGTGAGCTCAGTTATCATTGTAAAGGATACAGATTTTCTGGCAAAACTTACACTATATTTTATACGAAACTTAATACAATCTTACTTTCTTGCTTATTGATCTCATCATTGCTGTGCCCGAAAACCTTATTCCCGGAACCGTCATCTCTGTTGTTTCATCTGTATTTCAAGGCTAAGTATTGTATATTTCTTCAATTATTGCATTATTTTAGGATCAAATTAGTTCACTTGTCTAGAAATCACGTATAAATTCATCTGTATCGTTTTACGGGTAAACAAATTTATGTGGTGGTGTTTGACTAGACATGTAATTTAAAAAAGAAAGAAATACTTTTGATATTTGTGGATGTCAAAGAAATTTTATATAGCTATAAATCAACCCATTTAGTATTATGACAAGTTTAAAGTTAAATTATTTTTAAATAAGAAATAGAAAATGTGATATTTTTTAGAAAGAGTAAAAAGAAAATATGACACAAATATTGGGACAGAATAAGTATTATTGAAAGAAGAATTTGAAAATATCAAAAGAAACACATGGCTAAAAGGTTGGAAGTAAAATAGAATACTTATCCTTTTCTTTGTACTAGAGTAACGAATACGAGATAAATGTCTTTTACGTATTTATTTACTACTTAATTAGTCACGTATATTCATGTCAATTTATACAAACTTTTAAAACAATATAATTTAAAAAATATGTGTGATAAGATGCATGAAATTTTAAAAGAAAAAAAAAATACAAGAATAAAGATGATTAGCTAAATTTCGTTAGATAGATACGATGTATACATATAAGCACAAACCAGCATATACTTATGTAGCACTTTGACTCTTTGATCATCCATCAGTATATCATACGTCAAAAATATTTACATAAAGCAGTTTACGGGAGATACAAATACAAAGTTTTGAAAATAATTTTATTTCATATATTTAAGACGTCAATATAAAATACCATAGGGACGTGAAACACCTAATCTATTTTTTAAGAGTACTATAGAAAAAGGAATTTATTTCTCGTGGAGTCTAATTTCATGTAGAAATATACATTTATCATTTATATCTTTCATGCTAATTTCTTCTCATTTATATGATTTATTGTAGATAAATCATTTATTGTACTACACATTATTATTTATTAAATACTCTCTCCGTCTCATATTATGTGTCGTTTATTGTACTACACATTTATCATTTATTGTACTACACATTATTATTTATTAAATACTCCCCCGTCTCATATTATGTGTCGTATTTCTCTTTTACACGCCCCTTAAAAAATATTAATTAGGAAATGGATTGGACTATTCTACCCTTATTTATGTCATAAGATATAATCTCTCTTCATTGAATATTTATTGTATTTGTGTGTTATCTCCATCTTCAAGAACAATTATTACTAAGGATAAAAAAAGGAAAAAAATAATCAATTTTGTCTTGAATTTTTAAAATGACAAATAATTTGAGACAATTATTTTTAGTAACCATAACTGTTAATATGAGACAGAGGGAGTAGTAAATTTACTTTTCCACAAAAAATAGTATATAAAAGTAGCATTCAAAGAAAGGATAAATTGGTCTTTCAGCTTTTGTGGAGGTATTTTAGTAATTTATTTTTGGTTTTGGGTTTCACGCTTATAGTATAAGATGATATGATGATCGTGATTAAATAAATACTCGTATTTATGCTCACTCTAATTTGAACTCTGAAGATTAAAAGTGTTTACTCTAAAATAAACACGAGCGCGCGAGTTGGGAGTTTGAGCAAAGAAGAGACCATACATTTGGCGAAGTCAAAAGAATTGCCGATTCAATTGGCTAAACGTTATAAACTGGTAATTATTTCTTAAGTGGATTAGTTCTGAAATAGTTGACCATCTTAATCAGAACCATTATCCTTAAAGTTACTTTGGTTGGTTCCATTTTAATAATTGACCAAAATATTCCCAGACTTTGTTACATAGTAGTAATATAAAGAGTTGTACATCCCAATAATATTATACAATTCATAACTACGTCATCCCTTTTTTAAGGTCAACTCTTACTTTTTTTTTACTGAGCCGATAATCTATCCGAAATAGTCTTTATGCCTTCTTAGAAGTAGGGATAAGGTACACGTCCACTCTATCCTCCCACACCCCACTTGTGAGATTATACTGGGTTATTATTGTTGTTATTAAAAGGCTTCAATCAAAGATACTTAATTAATACTAATTTATAAAAAATTAGTATATTGTATATCAACTTATAATTAAGTTAAATCTCAATAGTAAAAATAAATAAGTTTCAAAACTAGTATAGCTAAATAAAAATCTCAATTTTTTAAGAGGCCCCTGGTGCCATAAGTCAAAAAGAATTGGGCTTATTTTGCAATTCCATTAATTTCCTCTACGAGAATTAGTAAAAGGTTAAAATCGTCTTTACATAATCACCACCCATCCTAAAAAGGCAGTATCCTCATTTCTCCTCCACTGTCACTTGTAAAACTTTTCTCAGTCACAATTGGCTCTCTTTCAATCCTACACCATGGCCACGCGCCACCTTCTCAACGTCACGCGCCGCTCTCGAATCAATCGTTTTTCCCTTCCACCACCATGTCTAACACTCTCTTCCCGATCCACCACCTCCGTAACCACCTCACCACCCTCCTCCCCACCTTCCCCACCTCCCCCAGACTTCATGATCTACGATCGCTTAGCTGAACAAGTCAAATCAAAGATCAAACGCCTCGAAGAACCTAACCCTAAGTTCCTCCAGTACAATTCCCCGCATCCTACCGCAGCGGATCACACCTCAATTCTCTCATCACCGGAGACTAAAATCACCACTCTCCCTAACGGCCTACGTGTCGCTACTGAATCGAACCTGTCATCCTCAACGGCTACTGTCGGAGTTTGGATCGACGCCGGATCTCGATTCGAAACGGAGGAGAATAACGGCGTCGCGCATTTCCTTGAGCATATGATTTTTAAGGGAACGGAGAAACGGCCAATTAGGGCATTGGAAGAGGAAATTGAGAATATGGGAGGGCATTTGAATGCGTATACTTCTAGGGAACAGACGACGTATTTCGCTAAGGTTTTGGGATCTGATGTGCCAAAGGCGATTGATATACTTGGGGATATTTTACAGAATTCGCTTTTGGAGGAAGATAAGATTGTTCGGGAGCGTAGTGTGATTCTTCGGGAAATGGAAGAGGTATGAGGAAAACAATTGATCTTTCTCTGATTCACAATGTGTACTGGATTAGTCTTACTTTGTTATGATTTGTTATTGTTCTCCTCCTGCCCCGAAAAAGTGATGGGACAAAGCTCGAAGTATCTTTTTTTGGTCCCAATTCGGATATCTGACCACATTTTCTGAAATAAAATTTACTTGATTAGAAACTAGTAGTACAAGCAAAAGATAATGGAAGAAAAAGATCTATATAGGAGATATCTGTTAGTAGAGAATATGTTTTAGTCATGTTAGCAGTTTTACTTTACGTCCTATGCTTTTTTAGGAATTGTCTAGCCTTTTTATTTGATATATTATTGGCATGAGATGAGTTTAAATGGAGTAATATGGTCAATGAAGATTCCTATAGCCAATACCTCAACTTGTTTGGGACTGATGCATTGTTGTTGTAGAAACTAGTACTTCAAAACAATCTTTTATAATCAATAAGTAATATCTTGGAAGTGTGTGAAAAAATTGCAGTTAAAGAAAAAGACAAGCTGATTCCCTGAATATTAATAATGTATGTGACGGAGGGAGTATCAGTTATTCTTAAGATTTATAAAAAGAAAATATTCTTATGTTGACGAAAGTATGATTGAAATGATTGTTAGAGCAAAAGAATTTGGGAATGCAATTATCATATAAATACACTAATGCCATGGTTCTCGAGAGGTTTAAATGATTCTTTGTGATGGAAGAAGAAAATTGCCACTTGCAGGAGCTCTTTTAATTTCTAATCCAATTGAAGTTAATGATTTAGAGTACTTATTGTTTAGTTGGGAAGTTGGTTACTTAAGTTGGATAGATAACCAGAAACTAGCGCCCTGCTCTACCGATGTGATTCAGAATATAGTGAGTCTACTTTGTGCCTTGTAGGTTCTATCTTTTTAGCTTTCAGAGCAGTAGTTTAAGGATAACATTTAAAATGATTTTGATATCTGCAGAGCCTCAGAGAAAACTGTTACATTTATCTAAAAATCCTTGAGAAGTATCTTGAGACCATTTACAATAAGATGAAAACGTGTCATGACAGTTTTGCTTGCCTATTTGGGCAAGATACAATAAATTTGGTGAATGTGATCCTGTAGAGCTAGATTAAGCAGCTCATCCATATCGCGTGCAGTGTCCTCTGCATTTGCTGGTGCATAGTTCTAATTTTTGGCATGAAGTATTTAATAGTTGTTCCTTTATGTTATTCTTGACTGGTCGAAGTGGTGGTATTTCATGTTAATATTTAGCCTGTGCAGAAACAGGCTATATTTGACATGAAAATTACATGTATTTTGTCATTTTTCTTTAAACCTGCTTTCATTTCTCTGCTGTCTGAAAAGTTAAGAATTGGGGGACTTAGTGATTGAAACTGGCACATGATTGGGATTGCAAAAGTTTTCTGGTGCGACAGAAAGTATCCTCTTTTGGATGAAGTGGTTGTACAAAAAATGTTTGAGCCATTTTATCATATCAAATTATCAATGCACTGTAATTGATTGTCCAAGATGTTAACACATATTGAGATATCTGATTTTGTTCACTGGAGAATGGCGGGATAGGCTAGGCGAGATTTAAAAGCTGTAGAGAACAACCATCTTGTAAGAGGAATTTGCAATTTTACCATTGATTAAAAGAATATACAAATGGATAGAAAATTGACACTAATAAATTCTTAGCTGATGAAATGGTTAATTGATTAAAAAGAGAGGCAAATTTTGGCAGGGTATATGTGTTAATCATTCAAAGTGCCAATAACTTGGTCAATATTTTTTCTTTTTTGGACTTGATATTTTCTGTAGCTTCATTCCTGTAGCCAGTGTTTTAGTGTTCCTGGCTGTTCGCTCAGAGGCTATCTTTGCTTGCAAATCATTCTGGCTCCTAAATCTATATGAGGGCAATGGTAAGTAATTGCAATTATTTCAAAATGCTGGTATGCCTAGTTAGTCCCTAGTCAGACAAGACAATAACCTCTTTAGCTTCTTCAATGATGGATGACTTTGGTTGTCCATGTAATGTGTCGTCGTTTGCTTACAATTCAATTCTGTTCAAGAGGTGTAATTGTTCATGTTGAGTCAGGTAGATTTCCTTATGTTACACTGGTAATTCATCTTTCTAGTTTATTAGAGGAGTTCATATGTGTACTCTGCAAGTAATTGTAGTATGTGACAATATCTGCTTCCGCTTTCTCTCTTAGGTGCAAATTTTTTCTTTAATCGCAATATTTACCAGTCTTTATGTTGGACAATCTTCTTGTAGGTGGAAAAACAACCCGAGGAAGTCATCTTTGACCAGTTACATACTACTGCATTCCAGTACACTCCATTGGGTAGAACTATTCTTGGACCTGCCCAGAACATTGAGAAAATGACAAGAGCTCATATTCAAGATTACATTTCAACCCACTATGGTGCTCATAGAATGGTACTGAACCTGTCATAGCTGATGTAGTATCTGTTGGTGACTTCCTTGCTAATTTGCTCTGGCTTCTTCTATTGAAAAAAAAAACTACTGGGTTAGTTTCATCAGGGGTCGTGTCAAAATAATCTCCATTTTCCTAAAATGTGCACCTTCTCTATAGGATCAAAGATTGAAGTGATACCATTTTTGCTCTTCCTTTTATCAAAATGAATGGCAGTTAATCTTTTTCCAGTGTGGTGTTATCTTACCTTGCATTCCAAGCACTAATCATAGATATCTCAAATGCAGAAAAAATCATGTGTACGTGAAAAGGGGGGAGTTAAAGTTTTGTTAGTTATGTTCTCAAGCAACTTGTGCCAGACTAAATGTGATATTTAAGTCTTTGCTGTAGGTAATTTCTGCTGCTGGAGCTGTGAAGCATGAAGATGTCGTTGAGCTAGTGAAGAAACATTTTACAAAACTATCATCTAATCCTATTACCACTTCCCAATTGGTGGCAGATGAGCCAGCAATATTTACAGGCTCAGAGGTGTGGATTCACTACTTAGTTATTACCTGTTTCATTTTATGTACTTTGTTTTACTTCTTTACTGATTTTGTCCTCCTACATAAATAGATACGTATCATTGACGATGATCTGCCTCTTGCTCAATTCGCTGTTGCATTTAGTGGAGCATCATGGACAGACCCTGATTCCATAGCTTTGATGGTCATGCAACAAATGTTGGGATCATGGAACAAAACTTCAGGAGGCGGGAAGCACATGGGGTTGGTCCTTCTCATTTGCTTAAGCAACAATCAAATTACTTTTATATGCTTCAAGCAAAAAATTTGAGTACTAGCCAGCAGCCAATGTGGCCCGTACAGAAAAGACAATAGTATTTGTTGTTTCTTAATGCTTCGTCTATTAGTTCCATTTCATTTCTGGGCATTGTTTGAAGGTTTTGATTAAATTGTTCCTTTTTCACAAAACTAGAAAGTTATTGAATTTGCCTTGTTAATTTCTCTTATTTCGTTGGTATATGATCTTTGAACAGTTCAGAGCTTGTCCAAAGGGTGGCCATTAATGAAATAGCTGAGAGTGTGATGGCATTTAACACCAACTATAAAGACACAGGGCTGTTTGGTGTCTATGCTGAAGCCAAGGTGAGTGACTTCAGATTTATGGTTCCTACATGCTTGGAAAAACTAATGCTTCCTTTTCTCTCACATGTATATAGAGATGTTGAGGAGGTCCTGCTTATCTTGAATTACTCTAGTATTAGCCTATTTTTTTTTTTCTCTTGGAAGTTTGCTTTTACTCAAACTATTTGTTTCACTTGAATGGTTAGGTAAAACTGCCAACTGTGTATATTAACTTTGTCAGCTGGTCTTCTCCTTTTGGTGCAATTTTTATTGGTCAGTGGAAGGGAATGTGTGCATTTAGACTGGGCAATCTAAGTCCATTATGTTGGATTAGTATGAGCAATTACTCCCAAAAGAAATTGGCTTCTTCCCTGTCTTTCTTTTGCTATGGACTCGTTGGTCCTTCTTCTGTTTTTGCAACACCTATAAAGTATTCTTTTGTGCTGAACAGATTTCAGTGTCACTATTTTCCGAATCTTTAAGGATGATAATCAAGGAATCGGGCAAATCTTTAAATAAGAAACTATAAGAGATGGATATTTGCCAAAGAAAAGGCTAAATTGTTGGAGGGCATCACTCATTGCTCTTTCTTTTTCCGTCACAGACTTTTCTTGTGGACGGTCATTGTATACTTGGATTACTAATTTAAGTAACAGTGATGAATTGATTTGGAGAAACTATGGGTGGCCATGCTGCTCATTGTGTACAGAAACACACAGGAATGTTGGTGAAATACTTAAGGTTAGGATTACTCATTCATTGGAGAAGGAGATTGGTTCCTTAAAGGAGCATTAGAGGTTATCCTAGTTGAAATGGGCTGGAAAATTAAGTAAACTTGTGATGTTCTGGAGGATTTGTGGTGGGCGAGGCTGGTTTTGATCCTTTAAAAATCTTGTAACAATGTGGCTTTGGGAAGCTTTTGGTTATGTCCACAGTCTAGTCACTTAAGCTTCTATGATCTACCCTTGCAGAGGATCTCTTTCAGGTTCTGATCCAGAATATGCTTGTTTTGAGGATAATAAAACTGAGAAATCAAACACAAGTAATGACTTTAGTGTATCCTTCCCTGATTCAGCTGTCCGTTCTGAAGACCATTATGGATTAATGTTTTTGTCATATAAATAGATAGTATTTTGCTGAAGCACACTGTTCCTCTGACTTGGGGGGGGGGAAAGAAAGGGAAAGCAGCCCAAATCAAGTGTTATAGTATATCANCAAATGAAAGATGTTAGATTCATCCTTAGATTTTTTGCCAAGTTTCAGCGAGGGGCTTTTGGAGGAAAAATAAAAGAAAAGAAGGAAAAGAAAATTAATATTTTTCCAAGATATATTTATTATAGACGGTTATATTGGGATTTAATCAAGAAAAGTTCTCCCTCCAATATCACCAAAATAGCTCAATCAGCTCATAGTTGTAATTTTGAAATCCAGAGGTCATTTAGTTGTGCAAATTGATTATTGTAACCAATAAAGAGAACTACATAGAAAATTTTAGGTTATTGTTTCTTTCTTAACTTCTCATGTCTTTGTGTTGCCTGTCAGTGTTGTCAAAGGCGCGCTTAAAGTGCGCTTAAGCCCTGAAGCGAGACTCAAAACATGTTGAACGCTTCGTCTCGCTTTGTGGGCGCTTCAGTGTCAAATCAAGGCTCTAAGGCATATTTTTCCTTGCCAACGAGTGTGACCCTGAAAAAGCGACACTAAACAATTGATATTTCACTTTATCGTATTTTTTTTTCAATTTCTTTGTCCATATATTTGTTATTTATGCTTATAATTATTGGTCTTGGACTACATATACATATTTTTACTTTTTCTCCAGTTGTGCCTTTTTTCATTAAAGCCCACGCTTTAATGAAACATATGCAAATGAAAGATGTTAGATTCATCCTTAGATTTTTTGCCAAGTTTCAGCGAGGGGCTTTTGGAGGAAAAATAAAAGAAAAGAAGGAAAAGAAAATTAATATTTTTCCAAGATATATTTATTATAGACGGTTATATTGGGATTTAATCAAGAAAAGTTCTCCCTCCAATATCACCAAAATAGCTCAATCAGCTCATAGTTGTAATTTTGAAATCCAGTGGTCATTTAGTTGTGCAAATTGATTATTGTAATCAATAAAGAGAACTACATAGAAAATTTTAGGTTATTGTTTCTTTCTTAACTTCTCATGTCTTTGTGTTGCCTGTCAGTGTTGTCAAAGGCACGCTTAAAGTGCGCTTAAGCCCTGAAGCGAGGCTCAAAACATGTTGAGCGCTTCGTCTCGCTTTGTGGGCGCTTCAGTGTCACATCAAGGCTCTAAGGCATACTTTTTCTTGCCAACGAGTGATCCTGAAAAAGCGACACTAAACAATTGATATTTCACTTTATCGGAATTTTTTTTCAATTTCTTTGTCCATATATTTGTTATTTATGCTTATAATTATTGGTCTTGGACTACATATACATATTTTTGCTTTTTCTCCAGTTGTGCCTTTTTTCATTAAAGCCCACGCTTTATTTGCGCTTTGCGCTTAAAGCCCCAATGGACCTTAAAGCTTTTTTGCGCTTTTCGCCTTTGATAACACTGTTGCCAGTCCTCCGCTTTGCTCCTAACTAAATACAAAAAACTGAGGATGAACAGAAATGAAAAGTTAATAGAATCTACATTACAATTTACATGGATCCTTTAGTTACCCTCAAAATACTGTTTTTTGCGGCGATCTGACACGATGTCCATGCCTCTCCGATCCGACACATTGGTGTAGAGTGCTACGCGTGATGTGTAGGTTAGTTGTATGTCACGGATTCGAACCTTTAAGCGGAGAAGGGTAGAAGGGCGGGACCATTATTCACTGTGTCTAGAACCGTGCGCTAGTGACCCCCCGGGATTTCTCGGTTATCAAAAAAAGAGAGACACTATCTCGGGCACGTCAGTACGGAAGAGTTGCGTCTCAGTGTAGGCTTTTTATTTCGCATAATCTTCTGAGAGAGTTGATGGTCCGTCCTCCGTCAATGAGAGAGACTTCTCCTTCGTTGAGATAGATGCAGCAAGCCAGCTCAGAGGCAACTCTATCACTAGGGTTATGTTTAATGAAAAAAAAAACAAGATTTGCTTAACTTTGAGATGAACTGGAGAACAGATTGCAATACATTAATGGAGGTGGATTGCCCAATAATAAATTATGAATCAGGATATCTAAGACAATTAAGTTTAAAAGAAATTTGTGCTAGCGTGATACACACGACGAGAAATAGAGTTGCGCTCACTTGCATCATGCTTAGTGTTCAACACCTATGAATTGTTTTAATGATATAGAAACATATTGCACAACCCCAGAATTATCTGATACCTTTACTTGTAGCGGTGCTGCTATCTGCATCCTTGAATTCTTAAATTTATGGGAAAGTGTATCTGACCTATATATGCAACAACAGCAACAAACCCAGTGAAACATATTTAATACCCACACCTGAGTCTGTATAACATAGTATAGAATACATCTATTGCTTCTCAATTTTGTTTAGAGAGAAATTTCCACTACCTCTGTTTATCCAAATCTCAACTATTGCTGTATCATTAACTTTGTATCCGATGAGATTTGCTGTTTTGTGGTCAGTCATTGAACTTTTGTTATCACAGTTCATTAGTTCTCTTGTGAATTGGGAACTGGGTAAGGCCATTCCTGAAATTTACAGTAGCGATTTGAAACACCTTATCAAAACAAAAAAAAAACAGTAGCGATTTGAAATGTAAAAGTTAGTGATTTAAAATCATATTTCATTTTACAATTTAGAGGCAGTTTTTTCTCAATTCTGCTCAATTAAGAAAATGTGATTCTAATAATTGTTGTATTAGTAAGATTGCTATTTGAAGCATTTCAAATTCTTCATAACTTGAGAAATTGTTATCCCTTTGATTATTGTTTCTTAAAGTATGTCAATTTAGGGAAGGGTAGCGAATTGAAAAACTTGTTCCCCTTCCACTAAGTGACCTATGCATAGGCCCGAAACTTTACTCATCCATGTTTTCTGTTACAGCCGGATTGCTTGAGTGACTTAGCTTATGTCATCATGCAAGGGATATGCAAGTTATGTTACAGAGTGTCAGAAGCTGATGTCGTTCGCGCACGTAATCAGGTATTCGTTTACTCAGCTATTCTTTTGGACCTATTTTAAAGGAGAGCTTATTGCCTCTATTTAATTTGAAGGGACCCTTCCCTGTTGACTGGCATGTCCTTTTAGCAATATCAAGAACTTATATTTTATGTACTTAATCTTCTGCAGCTCAAATCTTCTTTGATGCTCCACATTGATGGATCGGGCCCTACTGCTGAAGACATTGGACGGCAGGTAAAATCACGTAGAAAGTATTTGTAACTAGAAACAAGTACAGGAGAGAGCGTTTGGCTCCCTAGATCTGAGACATTTTTTAGTCTCCTTGTTCTTTACTTCATCAAATAAAGTTACTATCATCATAAAAAATAGAATAAGGCTCTGGTATAGAATGAAATAGAAGGGAGCAGCAGCCCCTCCAAAGCCAACCAAGAAGAAAAGGGATAAGAGTTCAAGAAGAATATGGGAAGAAAATCTTCTCTCTTGGTCTCCTGATTTAAAAAAAGACGGGGCGAGAAGGGAGTGGGAAGAAAATGGGAAGGAAGACTCCATCAGTCACAAATTAGTTGGAATTTTCTTCCGAGGCTTAGGCTGTAAGTCAAAGCTATATTTGGTCCCATGAAAGGGAGGGGAAAGGTGAAGGGGAGAGACCTTTTGATTACTTTCTTTTGCAAATTGTGGGTCATTTGGTTCTGGTTATTAGATGGAAGGAAAGTAACAGAGATATGCTTCATCTGAAAACCCTTTTCTTTCACTTCTCATCCAATCCTTCATCTTGTAACAACTTCATGCTGAGCTTAAATTAGAGATTAGTATCTTGGCTTCAAAAAGGCCAAATACATACACAGCCCCTTAAAGTTGTCATGTTTTTTCATTTGGACACTCCAACTAAAGGTGTTTCCTATTAGACACTTTTAAGTGTCTCCAAACTGTTCCTATTGAACCCTTTACTAACAATCAACCAAAAAAAGTGTGTAGTCTACTCGCTGATGATATGGCAAAGTAACAAAATAACTGAAGATAAGTGTCATATGGGCCGAAATAATTATTAAAAAAAGAGTTTTAAGCCAAAAAGATAAAATTTAATTTCACAAAAATACCTCCCCCACCTACCATCCCGCCGGATTCCGTCGTCTAACATCTATTTCTGTTCCACCGTCTCTTCGCCAACAATATTCTCCCCTTCGTCTCTTTCAAAAAGCACAAAGAAAATATTTTCTCTCCATTCATAAAATCCTTTGGTCAACTCCGTTTTACAGTACTTTTCAATCACTAATAGCAAACTTCACGCTATAGCACCATCAATACCGTACTACTTTCATTTCCTGGATATCCAAAATTTCTTTTCTTGGTGTTATGGTGCAGAGGGTATTAAACCCATGTAAGTATATGGTTTGTTTCATTTAGATTGGAAAAGTTAGTTTTTCTCTCTCTTTCTTATGCAATACAACGATGCGAGAGCAATTCTTGCACTTGTTTCAGGAAATTTAGGATGGAGCAGTTCGTCCTCTACTGTTCTTTGCATATAAACAAAAGAAGAAAAAAACTTCCATTGATTTTGTCTTTGAAAGAAGTTCAAACTAAAAATTATTTCATGTTTAAAATGAGGTTCATTTGCAGAGTCAGGGTTTGTCACCTAGCTGCCTGGTGGTGGAATGGTGGTATATCGAGGTGTTCATTGTTCCTGACACAATGATGAGAGGAGAAAAAAAAAGAAAAATGGGAAAAGATTACCTTTTCAGTATTCACGCGCCTAACAGCAACTGAAAGTCACTCATTATGCCACCTCTGCATGAGGTGTTCAATAGGCACAGTTTGGACACACTTTAAGTGTCTACTAGGAAACACCTCTAGTTGGAGTGTCTAAATGAAAAAAATGTGACAACTTTAAAGGGATGTATATGTATTTGGCCTTTCAAAAAACTAGGTAACAAGACTCGACTCTTCTAACATCAATAGACATTTTGTTTCACGACTCTGCTGACAAGGCTCTGGGATCACTTACACATTGTGGCAGAAACGTAGCGTTAACTGTCATTTGTTTAATATTACTGTATCTGAGATGAGGCGGAGGAATCATCGGAAAAAAATGGGAACTAAAAAACTTGTGATATTACTGTCACTTGACAAGAGTGAGTTGCTCTAGTGGCAAGCACCCTCCACTTCCAACCAAGAGGTTGTGAGTTCGAGTCACCCCAAGAGCAAGGTGGGGAGTTCTTGGAGGGATGGAGCCGAGGGTCTATCGGAAACAGCCTCTCTACTCCACGGTAGGGGTAAGGTCTGTGTACACACTACCCTCCTCAGACCCCACTAGTGGGATTATACTGGGTTGTTGTTGTTGTTGTTGTTCCTCTAAATGAATGGAACCTAGATGGCTAGATGGTAGAAGCTCTGCCGTAGTTAATTCAATTACCCTCTTCAGTATCTGTGTGCTAGATGCTTTGTGGTCAAAAGGATGACCTTTAATGCATTCTTGTCAACTGATGCCACACTTTGAGATTACTAAATTTACTTACAGTTGAAGTTTTTCTCCCTTGCAGTTAATCACGTATGGCCGCAGAATTCCATATGCTGAGTTATTTTCCAGAATTGACAGGGTCGATGCTGACACTGTCAAGCGAGTTGCAAATCGCTTTATTTTCGACAGGGTAAGTCCTTGAGATCTCCAGTACATCTAGTTTCAGTCAATAACTATTTAAATTTTTAACCCATTTTAAAGCGAAACTGAACTATTTGTCGTGGTACATTTAAGGAAAGTTAGATTTATCTAAAGCTCCTTTTCTTCAGTAATCCTGAAATAAAATTAGTGATACACTTGCATCAACTCCCCGTGGTGTAGGTTTGCAGTATGTGATTGTTTATTTATTTATTTTATTATACATTAGGGGAGAATTAACTGTAGGATTGAGCCTTCTTTTCTATGCTTTTCCCTCTGTAGGACATTGCAATATCAGCAAGGGGACCAATTCAGGATTTGCCTGATTATAACTGGTTCAGACGCAGGACATACTGGTTGCGCTACTAGATTGCTTATTCTTTCCTCATGGCTTAAAGTCATTTTGTTTCCAAGTTGGAAGCCTGTCATTGGGCATTATACCACACATGGTCTACAAAAACACTTAGTTAATAAAATAAGTGACAGATTTTGTTGATCACATTCCTTTTTTTTTTTGTACATGGTATTACTGACGAGTAGAAAACACTACTTGCGGAAGCCTTTGGCTGTCAGTTCAGTCAGCATAAATTGGATCTTTTTTTTCTTATGCAATGTCTCCCTGTATTAGAATCCTTTGGGTAAAAGTATGCCGTTGGTGGTACTGGTTTGGTTGCTAATCGTTTTCTTGTGGCAGAATGCTTCGTTTAACCCTCTTAAATTATGGGGTTTATTCACTAAGTTACAGGGATTAGGTGGGTCATCTCAGTATAAAATTTGTTGTTAAATTTGTCCAGTGTTTGGTTGTGGGTATTAGTTAAAACATAGATAATTTATACCAAAATAATGAGATTCTCAATCTCATATAGAAGGTGAGATTATCTATTCTGGTTATAATTCCAGGATTATAATTATGGGATAATCTTATTCTGAACCAAACGACGCTAAGTGCGTTTATATGAATCTTTTACGGTTTTGATAGACATTTGTAGTTAGGTACAATATGAAGAGTCTTTTTAGTTTGACCTCACTCCAAGCCCCTGAAGGTGGAAGCTCCCCACTCGCAATTTCGACTAGAAAAAGCTCAACTTTAACTTCTACATCAATAATAACTGAAGTCATTGAATTTTGAATCCGAGAAGATACCCCGTTTCAATTTTTTTTTTTCTGTTTCTGATTTTTCAAGCTTCGCTGCCTCAATACTGCTTGTGTCTCGTTGCTAGTTCAACTCAATTTCAACCCAAAATTAAAAAATCTACTCTAAAATCTCCACCAAATTATCTTGGAATATAGCCACATCCTCCAATTAACATTTCGAACATACTCGGTCAGTATCAGATCAAAATAACCACAAACTCAACAAACCCAATTTATAAGTTTCAAGCTTCGAGGTCCTCCAATGGCAGATTAATATTTTGCAGAAGTCAGAAGTCTTGTAATTCAAGCCATAGAATAAAACAGAAATAAAAAAGGATTTGCATTTTCAATTTGCCCCTCATGCTGGGTAAAAGTGTAAAGCAAATTAAAAGGGAAAAGTCAAGTGAATTTACGGGTAATAAGTTTAGATTGCCTAGGTAGGAGTTGTAATTAATTTCCAAATGGGCAAATCCGGGTAAATATTTTGGGAGTGATAGGCATTTAGTGTTATTTCCTCAATATTATAAGGCCAAGCTTGAAATAATACGTTAAAAGATAAAACTATGAAAAAGTTTAAGAATATTTATAAACTACACAACCATAAATATTTTTATGTTTTAAATATATTTAAAACTTCTATACATATAATGTCGGGTTGGTTTGGTTTCGGTTTGACTTTTTTTAGTTAAAACCAAACCAAATATGGTCGGATTTTTTTTTTCTAACACCAAACCAAATCAAACCAGACCATAGTCGGATTTTTTTTCTCGGTATGACTCGGATTATCGGGTTAGTGCGATTTGTCGGTTTCATTTGTACATCCCTACTGCTTGTATATGTCATTGTAATCCTTGAATTAGTAGATAACTTACCTGATTGACGCTAACAAACTTGTGAGATAGTCATTGTGATATTTGTTTCTTTTCTTATCTTTTAGTGCATCTTTTCTAGAGATATATGGACTATTTGGATCATCCATTCTTGTAAAAGTACAAGAGAAAGTGTAGCTAATTTTCACTGATCCAAATACTTTACATGTTACATATCTTATAGATAATTTACCATTTTCTGTGATTATAATCGTGGGATTCCCGTACTTTACACGAATGTAGTTCATTAAGCTTCTGATGCCATGAGGTACTATGAATAACCATATTGAATTTGCCTGCAAGTCAAAAAGAACAATAACATCAGTAAGTAAATATTGTTCAATGAGCATAGTGTTAAAACCATATTAACAGCCTCTCTGTCCTCTCCCAGGATAGGGGTAAGGTCTGTGTACACCCTATCCTCCCCAGACCTCACCTGTGGGAATTCACTGGTTTTGTTGTTGTTGTCGATGTAAAACCATATTAAGTGTATTCCATTCTGCAATATTACTTACCCGGTCTGGTATTGGCTTCCCCAAGCGCAATGCTACAAAAGATAGCGGCAAGTACTGGTTAAGCAATAAAGAGCGATCAACATTACTATTGTATCGAATGAGAGAAGAGGATTGAAAACATGTGAATAACGGTAGCACCAGAATCTGAAGTTGTGTCATTGAACAAAAATCCAACCAAGTTAGTGATGTTGCTTCTTGCATACCATGTAGTATAGTGATTTATGCCTATAAATCGAACGAACCCTTGAGCAGAGATGACTCTTCTTGAGAGAATTTTGGCAACCTGCTTTCAACTCTGATAATCATTGTGCTTGGATAGTTACCAAAGACTAATGGCTCAATAAACCTGGATTAGACGAAACTTTCACACCATCAATTCTTGGTAATCTCTAAGCTCGAATGTGTTGGGAGGTGTGAACAAAGTCCCACGTGGAAAGTAGAAAGGAAAAATAAGCTACTTATAAAGAGTTGGATACTCTTAATGGTGTGAGACCTTTAGGAAAAATCATGCGGGCTTGACCTAAAGCAGACAATATCACACTATGTTAAGAGTATCTTTGGTTGGACCGTTTTAGTCCAACAGATTGTAACATGAGTAGATTCGATTTTACATCTGCAACAATTGAGCTTAAGTATGTGTCAAAAGTACTTACCAGCCTAGCTGAAAATCCAGTGCTCGTTGTGTTGCTTCGATGTCTTCTTTGGTGTTAGTTGCTGATTCATACCAATACGAATCTAACGATATCCCAATTGACCCTAGTTGATTTTGCTGTCAATATATATCACATGTCATTTTGTATAAAACCATGGTAGAAATAAAGAATGGTACTCTGTAACAAGTTAGTGAAAGTCATGTACTTATTAGGATCAGTACCTTATACTTTTGCCTATAAATGTTCACTGCAGTAGCATGAGCCAAGAGAGCATTGTGTGCAGCAATGTAAGGCTCAGTACCAGAATTCCCTTCACTACAAAAGGCACGAAGTAGGATAGAGCAACGCGCCGGTGGCTGGCTGCCTAGATCATACAGTGGCGAAGCCAGAAATTTCCTCAAGGATGTTCAAACTTGAAAGAAGTGAAAAAATTTCCGGCAAAGGGTGTTCAATATATGTTATGTACTTCTAAAATCTGATATTTTACCTATATACACAGTGTAATTTTCCGACAACCTTACCAAAGTGTAGCTTCGCCCTCGAGATCATAGCCTTGTTGCACAAAATTATGGGATTCGTTGAGCGTGATCCAATGTTTCACTCTGTCGCCAAATGCCAGAAAACACGTCTCTGCATATATAACGAAGTCTTGTGTGCAATGAGTTAAGGGATCTAAGTTGATTTTATGTTTTACAACATTTTGTTTTAGCAAAGATAGAGAAGTAATGTAAATTAAGCTATTTACATGATCTCTGGACTGAGCCATCCGTTGTATTTATCTTCCAGAGCTTGAGGAAGGTCCCAGTGGTAGAGTGTTATATATGGTTCAACTCCTGCAAAATGAGACTATAAAATACAACAAATAATACAGGTACTCCACATTACTTTAATGATCCCTCTGTTCCATTTATTCGGACACTTGTTTTCTTTATTTGTTCCAAAAAGAATGACACTTTTTTATATTTGGAAACTTTTTAATTTTAAACTTTCCAAATAACACTTAATGACTTGCTTTTATACCCGTAGAAATATCATGACATATCTAATACCACAGTTACAAAGGTACTTGATAAGTTATGTGCCTTTTTGTTTTGATAATTTAACAAACTTCATATGAGAACCAGATAGGGAACCTGATACAAAGCCTCTCAGTGCTCAGAACAAGTCAAATATCTGGCACAAGTTCCAATGAAATCAGTTAAAGGAACGACAGAGGCATCAGTTAGAGGGAACATATAGAGATCAGTTCCTATGATGACAGTACAAGTCAAATCTAACAGCTGTTAAAGCTGCTATACTGTATACGCAACAATACAACAACACTGTTGAAGCATGCAGTGTACTGGTCGCTCCCTTGCATCATCTTGATGACCTCACTCTTATATTATCAACATGAGGCAAGGAATTCAACACACACTTGCAAAACCTAAAATTGATTTTCTCTCTCAAGTGTGCAACCACCTTCATTCTATCCAAGGCATTGAAGAACAAAGCAACAACATAACAAAGGATTAGGTCCCAACATTGATTATGTCGTATGTCCTTTAGTATTGTTGTGTCTTTGTATTGAGTTATAAATTGTAATTCCTACTCAGCTTGTTTAGAAGCATTTCGTAGGACATCTTTTAAACCATATTCTGTGTCGTTGTTTTGACTAGAGTTAGTCAAATGATTAGCTTTGTAATAGAGTTATTACAAAGAGACTTACAATATAGTTATTGTGAGTAGGTGAGAGATTAAGAGTTTAATTCCTAGATTAAGGCTTGCAATATAGTTATTGAAAGTAGGTGAGTGATTAAGAGTTTAATTCCTAAGTTACAATATGCTGTAATCTAAAGTTGCTCGGTTAGTGAAGTTGAAATCCTACGAGTGTAGGCCGTGATTTTTAATCCCGTGAGTTGGAAGTTTTTCACGTAAAATATTGTTGTGTAATTTACTTACCACTGCGTGTGTGTGTATGTTCTGTAGGAACTGATAGAAAACCATGTTCTCTATATAGTTTGGTGGACTTTTAGTTTATATCAATTGGTACGAGAGTATGTTCTTTCTATAAAGCTAACACCTGGAAAGGATCTATATGGATGCTCCACCAAATTTTGAAGAAGGTCAATCAACCCATAGAGCACCAAGATTTTAGAAAATGATTCATAGAAATGGAGGCATTCCCAAGAAGGGCAGCTCTAGTAGAAACACTAAAGGATACGATTGCTATCACGTGCGGAAAGCCATGACATTTCATTAAAGATTGTCCTCTCCACAAGCAGGTCCATTACAAACACAATGCAGACAAGATGGTTAAAAGAAACCCTGTCCTAAATAGAAAATTCAAGAGAAGAGATGTCACTGATAATGTTATGAAGCAAGCTCTGGCTGCTTGGGGAGATTCCTCTAGTGAATCTGAGGGCGATGATGAACATGGAGACATCTCCATGATGGCCGTTGAAAGAAAAGTTGTAGAATATGATTCCATATTTGCACTGATGGCAAAATCTTAAGAGGATGATGACGATGAGGTAAACTTTCTGAACGTTCAAAGAAATTTGAAGTCTTATTCTAAATATAAGTTGGTATGTTTAGCCAATGTTTTAATTGATGCTTACCACAACCTCATTAATGATAAAAATATTTAACTGAGGAAATTAGAGAGTTAGAACAAGAGAGAGATGATCTGATGGTTGTAGTTGGAGATTTGAAGGAAACAAAGAAAGAAAATATCATTTTAAAAAATTCAATGGAAATATGCATGAACTCCTCTAAAGGAAAGGAAGTGGCAAGTGAGGCACACCTTAAGCTTGAAAATGAACTCAAATATGTAAAATTGAGTCTTGTCGCTGAACATAAAAAAAATAGATAACTTCAAAAAGATTTAAGTAGGGTTAAAAATGATCTAGTAAAATCTCAAAAGTGGACCCGGTCCTCTGATACAATCACTTCCATGTATACAAGTTATGGGGGGAACATGCAAGGAAACAGGTTCCACAAAGAAAAACCCCCTTATAACCCACATGGCAAGTATATTACTGTGCCTGATAACTAGCTTTGCACACACAGTGGTAAGATTGGTTATTACAAAGATTCATGTAAAGCAAAGTTTCAATCACAACAAAAAAATAAAGTTTTTGTTGAAAAGGTATCTACTGCTAAGGAACCCGATTCTCTGAAAAAGAATTTAATGGTTCTTTTGTTATGTCATGTAATCTATCACATGTGGAAGAGGTTCGAGAATGTTTTAATAGATTGGGCCTAGATAGAATATTAAATCTGCCGATTTAAAATAAATATTTGTGAAGTACATGTATAGGTTGCGAATTATTTCAAAACCGTTGCAAGAAAAAAAAGTGGTAAAAGAAATTGTGAGGGAGCGAGATGGGTTAGAAACTAATTCAAGACTTGTTGTAATAAGTAAAATTATATATAAATTAATGTCTCGGATTTAAAAAAGACAAATAAATGGAATACACTTAATACACTAGAAAAGCTTTAGACACACTTTAAAAATTAGCCCATGTATTAATACTTGAACCTTGGATTAATATGCATAAATAATAAAAAGATCTGTCATAACCCCAATATTTCTCCGTAGGATGTCGTAACAACACCTAGTCTCTAAGACTAGGTAAGCCTAACACTTACTAAGTAAACAGAAGAATTCAACCATCAAATAAAAAATACGAGATAAAAATATCTTATACAAATTACAACTACCAAAGACCGTAGTACAAGTTATAAGCTCTACTGAGTTCGCTAAGAGAATCCTTAAGTACACTATTCAGAATGGAAATCAAACAGTACAAAAATGAAATCAGAAGGTAATTCCGAGTCCTGGTAACACGACAATAGGTTTACCTTGAGTCTCCAGCTCGACCAACCAACTAATAACCAACAATAACCGTGGCACCTGGATCTGCAATAAAATGTGCAGAAGCATAGTATGAGGACACCACAACGGTACCCAATAAGTATCAAGACTAACCTTGATAAAGTAGTGACGAAGGACACTCAAGACACCTACCAGCCTAAACAACCTGAACAAGTATGAAGGTGAACTAACAGAGGACACAATATTAATATAAAGCTAAGCAGGATAAAGAACACAGATTAATACTTGCAATGATACACTAATAACAACAATATTTAACAGGAAGTAGTCAGGTGATAATGCTATAGAGTAAGCTGAACACAGTCTAAGTCCGGGAAAATCAATTAAAGGAAAAACCAACAACAACTCCATAAGAACAACCGCTTTCACACCAGATCTGTTCAAGCATTTCCACGAGGTACCGAACCTCATAATCACATCTCACGAGTCCCAATTCATGAACCCTAATAACTTTGCATTTTGTGCTCATATTTCCTTTCATAACTGCATAGACGACTCACGTGCCAAGTGAACAAATCTCACTCAGAAGGCAAGCATACAAGAATACACGTAATGGTCAATAACGTCAGGATTCATCTTCTCAAACTGATGTGGGTGATTAATCTACGTGGATGCTCGTGCAAGTGTTCTACCACGATCCAAGTCAACAAATAAGAGCAAAGACAATGAATGACACATAAGAAACAATCACTACGAAATATACAGTGTAAATAAGACTGCAATAAAGTTTGAAGCAACGACCAGCACAACAAGATTATCTACATAGAACTGAGCAAATAATGCAACACGGAGGAGAACAATTAATAGTATGCTAAGGAAAACAAGAATCAAAGACAAGTGCACAGAAAAGGGGAAATGACAACAAGAGCACTCCCGAGGTACCGCCTCGTAGTCTCAAATCGTAAAATGAATCACAACTTTTCTTATATCACCCATGTGTATCAATAATCACAACGGCATGGCAGAAACCTCGTGCAAACAATAACAACCGCACGATAGAAACCTCGTGCAACAATAACGACCGCACGGCAGAAATCTCGTGCCGCAATAACAACCGCACAGCAGAAACCTCGTTCCAAAATAACAACCGCATGGCAGAAACCTCGTGCAACAATAACAACCGCACGACAGAAACCTCGTGCAATAATAACAACAACACGGCAGAAACTTTGTGCAACAATAACAACCGTACAACAAAACCCTCGCGCAACAATAACAACCGCACACGAAAACCTCGTGCCACAATAACAACCGCACGACTGAAACCTCGTGCCATAATAAAAACCGCAGAAGCCTCCCCGACCTCTCTCTCCTGACCTTACATGACCTCTAGCCAACGAGCGATCTCTACCACCTGCTGAAATGGAACATCCGACTCCAACTCCTTAGCCATATTGAATCCGATATTATGAATAAGTCCCCCAATAAACCTGCGGCCTCACTCTCTAACTGTAGAAACCAAAGTAGGTGCATGTATGGACAATTCATTGAATATAATGGCATACCCTAACACTGACATAGTGCCTCAGCGCAGCTACTTAAACTCCACGCGCCATGCATCCCCGAAGAGTCTGGGGAACAAACCCCCTCAAGAACACCTCTGAAAACTGAAACCATGAAAGTGAAGCTGCATCGGACGGACCACCCAACTCATACACTTGCCACCACTGAAAGTAGGAGGGTAATACTTCTTGAACCTCGAAAGTCTAAGTTGTTCTTCCTCATATGCCACTGCCCTAACCACAGGCTGAACTAGGATAACAAGCTGTGTCGGCATGACACCTGGAACCTAACCAACGTGGACTTGCTGCTCTGGAGTACGGGCGGTGGGAGTCTGAGCTCCTCCACTGATCTGTGAAGTAGTTGATGCAACCAGGATCAACCCCACCCAAGCCAATGTTTCGAACATGCTCAGGAATTGTGCTAAAGTCTCCTGAAGTCTTAGGATAACAACAGGCACCTCCGGTACCTGTCCCCCAACCGGAGCTACTGGCGGCTCCTCAGTTGTTGCTATGACAGGTGCTCTAGCTGTAGCACGTTCTCCTCCTCTGCCTCTGTCCTGGCCCCTGGCAACACCAGCTCTGGGGAAGCATCATCGGTAACTGTAGCTCGTTTCCTCACTATTTGTGAGAGAATAGAATGACAAAAGTTCAAACTCCGAGATCAATAAACTCGCACGATAGGAATGAAGGAAAGTGAAACAGTCCTAATAGTTTTGTAGCCTATCGAAGATAAGTACATATGTCTCCGTACCGACCCGTAAGACTCTACTAAACTCACTTATGACTCGTAGCACCTATGAACCTAGGGCTCTGATACCAACTTGTCACGACCCCAATATTCCTCCGTAGGATGTCGTGACGACACCTAGTCTCTAAGACTAGGTAATACTAACACCTACTAAGTAAATAGAAGAATTCGACCATCAAATGAAAAATACGAGATAAAAAAAATCTTATACAAATTACAATCCAAAACAAGTAGTACAAGTCATAATCTCTACTGAGTTCGCTAAGAGAATCGTTAAGTACAACTGTTCGGAATAAAAATCAAACAGTACAAAAACAAAATCAGAAGGTAACTCCGAGGCCTACGAACGCGACGACAAGTTTACCTTGAGTCTCCACAGCTCGACCAACAAGAACCGTGGCACCTGGATTTGCACAAAAATGTGCAGAAGCATAGTATGAGTACACCACAATGGTACCCATTAAGTATCAAGACTAACCTCAGTGAAGTCTCGACGAGGGACAATCATAACACCTACCGGACTAAACAACCTGAACAAGTGTGAAGGTAAACTAACAGAGGAAACAATATTAATATAAAGCTAAGCAGGATAAGGAACACACATTAATACTTGCAATGATACAC